AGGTATACAGCAAATGGAAAGGCGTTTACTGGAATTTCTGTAACTATTCCTTCTCAGGTTTCATTTAGAGAACTCCATTATAAAAAATAGGACATCAATACAGTACAGTTTCTTTTGAGACCCCTCCAACAATCTGAGTCCTTACAATGACACAGAATCGATTCCTGAAAGCATCCAATTAAGTGTCATTAAAAAAATTACCTACAGTAAATAGATAAGAAATCATCAGAAATTAAGAGGGAAGTCCATTAAAATACATTCAGAAATTCTGACGTTTTCATGCTCACTTTAAATGTTCCATGCTTTAAAGGGCATGTGTAACTGAATGAAGCATTATAGAGTTAGACATTGCAGTAGCTGGACCTGATTAGACTAAGGATTCTCTTTTTCCACATTTTTTAAAACAGAAACATCATGTTCATGAAGATGGATAAGCATGGGATGGAAGGCAAATACCCAGCACTTTACTAAGTGTTCTGAAGAAAGAACTTCAAGAACAGAACTTATTTATAAAATGCAAAGACCTCAAAAATAAACTATACAATTATATTATACACACATATATTATATATATATTGACATAATTATGAAATGATAGCTTATAAATTATAAAGCTTTAAGTCTTTAACAAACAATTTATTACAAAGAAGAAGAGCAAGTTTGTGAAACCTGGCATATACCTTTGCCCTGCTTCTTGTCAGGACAATGATAAAATTTACCTTGGTTGAGAAAATACAAGGGTCTTTTCCACAGTGTATATCTTACATTAGCAACTTGTCCAAGGTATGGCACTGGGCAATAGCTAAGTTACATATATTTTTACTGGTTTCATTATTTGTTACAAAGCTTCAGAGGTGTACATCACTATGGAGAGGAGGGTCTGAGGTTTTCCATCTACCTGCACTGTCTAGCGCAAGTAAATTAAAAAGGACTTAGATAAAATCACAATAAGATAGACATATCAGATAAACTATTTTAAACAAACACAGATTCAGTTGGAACGCAGAGTCAGCATGAAGTTTGCTCCTACCTTATGTCCTCACTAAAGTTAAACAGTTAAGGCTGCAACATAACACCAAACTGAGAGATGAGACACAAATACAAAGAAAACATCTACAATGCAAGAAATATGTTCCAAACATTTTTATTTAAAGTATGTGAAGGGTTTACTTACAATTCTTCTCCTTGTTTTGCTTTTCTGTCAGAAACCAGATATACACTTCCAAAGCTTCCATTGCCAAGTTTCCTCTGAATAGTGTATCTTCTTGCAATCACAGCATCTGAGCAAGCAGAATTAAATCTGGCAACAGAGACGTACTTAGCAGTTTCTTGAAATTTCAGCATTTCTCTGTGCAACAGAAACTACACAAATTTCTCTAGAATGCAGCTTTCAAATACTTTTACTCTTCCATGGATGTTCATAGGAAACCCTTGAAACAGAAAAAGATTTGATTTGTCAGTGTATTATTCTTATTAAAAGCTTCATTTAATTCTATGGCAGTGCTTATAGTGCTCAGCTTGCAGCAAAACACAAATTAAGTGGAATCGTTAGTTGCTAAGCTGTGGGCAGCAGACTTGATAAAGAAAGTCCAGATAATGTAGATGTGACATAGTCAGCCTTCCTCTAAATCGACCTTAAATGAATTCACTGAACTGACAACACAGGGGAAATGAAATGCAGGTGCTTATACATTAATTTTTTAAAAGTTCAAGTGCTTTTTGCAAGGACAACTACACCTGTATTTCACCTGACAGTTCCCCTAGATAGGGCACTCTTCCTCACCACCTGTCTTTATACCACCATGGTACCTGACACCAAAAATGTCTGCATTTCAGGATACAAGCTTCATGATTTTTGTATATACTGGAGCATAATCTCCACTTGTAATTTGAGTTCACTCCCATCAATAACTACAAAGCTGTTTTCTTTGCTCTTTCATTTGCCCCTCAGATTTCACCATCTGCTTCAGTGCTGACCTCACAGCACACACCTTCTGTGTGATTCACTACTATCTTCTGCAAATTAGAGCTTCATGGCTACCCACAAGTCTACAAGACTTTCAATAAAACCCAATTCTTCCAAAAGTTCTTTGTTTCTCCTTCACTGTAATAATTCTTTCTTGATCTACCTTTCTAACAATTTAGCTTTGATTTGGAATTCTTGTTAATTGGGGTCCTAATTCTGCAAACATAGGGACTGCAAAGGCAAACCTCTAGTGTTTCTACAGTTTTCAACAACTGAACATGAGTTTAGAATAACTTTGCTTACTCAGCCTTCCTCATTCTAAATGATAAAGGGTAGGTGTTTCACTGCCTGTAATAAAACAATATTGCTTTCATTGCCTTTATATAATGCTACCTGCACCATTTGTGCTTGAGGATCCTTTGGAACAAATAAAGATGTGGCAAGATCCTACAATCAGTGCAACTAATACTGCCTTCTGTCAGCGCTGCCAGCTGCAGCGCAGCGTGCCCACACTGGGTTTGTTCACCATAGCATTTTAATATCAATGCAAGCATATCAAAATGCTGCTTTTTTTTTTATGTTTTGGAATAGAAAAGGCAAATTGCTTAATTTTAAAAGCTCTATAATTGCGGGTCCCAAGTCACTGTCTTCATTTCCTAACAAAGGCAGAGCCTAAATGAAGGTTACAAATTTGTATCTTACAACTACAGCGTGTGTGTGTGCACGAACCTTTTTTAATGCCCATCTGCTGAGCTGCTGTCACACTGTACTAAAGAGCCTGACATTGCAGTGTCACTATATTATGAAACGCAGCCAAATTTTCATTACTACAAGCCATCTTAACAATGATACAAATCCTGTATGTTTTTTAAACAAAAGCACTCCTGAGATTCTGTTTCTGTATTCTCTTTCAGATAGCAACACTGACAAAAAATTTGAAACGCAAATGCTAAGCAAAGAATGTCAGCTAGAAAATTACTTCTTCTGTAACTCCAAATCTGTCTGAAGAAGCATAAATGGATCTTGTTGAGGTGTGGGGCAGGGGAGGGCAGGAAGATGAACTCCATAAAACACTACATTGTCAGTTCTGGAAAGTTTACGTATTTTTCATTTACTGTTCTGTTGCTAGTTTATGGATGCTTTCATAAATTCCAAATAGAATAGCTTTGAAATACATAACCTTTAAAAATAACTACACTTACAAAAACTGCCAAGCTATCTATTCCTTTCTTCTGGAGAAGAGGCACTTAACACCGCTTACCTTCAAGTTTTTGTACCTACTTGGGCCCTAGGAATATATCACAATCCTTTACACCACAATATAACACTTGAGATCGAGTAGCCCATTGAGTCTAATTGTTGTGCTTTATTTCCAACTCTGCCTCTCACCTGATACTTTTTATGCTTCGTTTTCCCTCTATATAGAATAATAGTAATAACTATCATAGAACTTTATTAAATGCTTTGATAGTGTTATAAGGCAGGGGTCAGTGATTGCCGTTGTGGTATCACAGGCACATTTTAATAGCACAGAAGAGATTGATTGCTGAGCCACTGCATTTGAAAGAAACACCCTGTAAGAGTCAATAGACTCTAGAGCCCGGCTCAGCCATAAGACTGACTGATTCTTCAAGAAGTATATGAACTGGCAGCCTCTCCTACCTCACTCAAACCTTCAGCCCAACCCTGGCTGTATTTTTTGCCAGTGTCCACCTTCTCCCAGGTATTTCCCAAGCAGCAGTACCTCAATTGCTTCATTAAAGTTCAGAAACACTAGAGATAACTCAAAGAAATCAACTCTCCAGACCCCTTTTCCTCAAAAATACCAGTATACCCTATCTGGTAACACCCTCGTAAACAGTTTATGTTCTTAATTTTCTCCCTGCCCCCCCCCCAAGCCCCATTCCAGAGCCTGGCAGACTGCTGGTGCCAAACTAATGCAACTACATTGTCTGGATCACTTTTTTTAATTTTTCCTTCTTCTTTGGCTAGATTTAAATCTCCTTCCTCTTTTTTGCTGTAAGCTAAAGCAAAGTTGTTGTTTAGGGTTTCATAGTTCCACCTACACATGCTAAGCGCGCAGCACCTCCATTTCTTCCCCTGACCTTCCTTTGCTTACGTAAGTAAGATACTGGTTTTAATTTCCTTTACATAACCTTCAGATTTCTTTAGCAATGGCTAATGTACTCTGACATTTTCTGCCTCCAAGATAAACCCTGGTTTGCCAATCAAGGCCATTTTCCAATTCTATCAGGTTTTCTTTTTATTCCTTAAGAACCCCTGTGCGACATCAACATTTGCCACCTCCCACTCCTTGCAGTACAAATTCCAGAGTTTTTATATTTAAACTCCAAATATCCTCCCTATTTACTACCTTAATTTTTTTTTCTGCCAATGACTTCACTGGCTTGCTCCTTTAAACTTTTTGAAAATAAAAAAAGGAGGTATTTCTGGTTTTTCCTTCATTTAGAAAAAATTAACTCCTGAACACTGGCTCCATTGTTATAGAATCATAGAATCATTTAGGTTGGAAAAGACCTTGAAGATCATCAACTCCAACCATTAACCCAGCGCTGCCAAGTCCACCACTAAACCATGTCCCTAAGCACCACATCTACAGGTCTTTTAAATACCCCCAGGGACGGGGACTCAACCACTTCCCTGGGCAGCCTGTTCCAGTGCCTGACTAACCTTTCGGTGAAGAAGTTTTTCCTAATATCCAACCTAAACTTCCCCTGGTGCAGCTTGAGGCCATTTCCTCTCATCCTATCGCTTGTTACTTGGGAGCAGAGACCAACCCCCACCTCGCTACAACCTCCTGTCAGGTAGCTGTAGAGAGCGATAAGGTCTCCCCTCAGCCTCCTCTTCTCCAGGCTAAACAACCCCAGCTCCCTATTTTCTGCAACATCTTTGTAAACCTAGCCAAGTCTAAAGTAACACCATCTCAGTTGGCTCAGTTTTTTACTGCTCCCAGAGAAAGGATAACTAAGAAAGATTTTATTAGTAGTGTCGGTAGCAAAGGAGCTTGCCGGTGATGGTAAAACAAGGTCAAATGTACTCGACTATCAAAGAGCCTAATTAATATCTCTCTGACACACATTCAGGAAGCCGAGATCCCCTAGGATAACCTCAGAGATGTTATTACCTTGTTAATAGACCGTGTAAGACTCAAAATTCACGCTCCGAGGGCCTGGGGGCAGACACACAGGTACGAAGTGTCCCCGCTTCCCCACCCAGCTACCCTCACACAGAGGGGCGAGGGCGGCATGCCTCCCTCCGGTCCCCCTTCCTCACCCCTCCGGGGAAGGCGGCGCTCCCCGGGATCCCCCGGACGCGACCGCCCCACCGCTTTCTGCCCCTCCAGCGCCCGGCCCCGTACGGCCGCCAGGGCCGCCTGACGGCGGGGACTACCGTCCCTCAGGGTCCTCCGGCTCCCCTCGGGATGGCCTGAGGCAGGGCGCTGCCAGCCCGGGGCAAAAGAGGGAGCGGCCACAGCCTCCTACCTCGCCCGGGCTCGGGAGCCAAACCGGGCTGGGCGGGGAGGGCAGGCCGCCCGCCCGGGCCCCTGTTTGCGGCTCCGTCGCTAGGAGACGCCGCGCACGCGCCCTGAGAGCCGGTGGGCGGGAAGAGGAAGAGGCGCTCTGATTGGAGGACTCCGCCTGCCACTCCTAGCGCCACTTCCGGCGGCGGGGCGCCGGTCCCG